AAAGAAGGGTTTAACTTCCTGGAGCCTCAAAGAGCTCCTGGGTAAACCCACAGCAGCACAGTGCCTGGCACATAGGAGGCGCGTGACAAATGTTAGTTGCTTTCAAGGATTTAGAGGTGCCAGGGCTGATGCCTGGGACAAGAAGGTGGGCGTCCGGGAGAGGAGGGTGCGCTTACAGCGTGTCTCCTACCTTTGCCCAGGGCATCTACAGCTGCTTCAGCGGGGTGCAGAGCCTGGCCAGCCCCGCGCGGCCGCCCAGCCCTGACCTCACGGCCAGCTCGGCCCAGGCCAGTGTGCTCAAGATGCTGCAGGCGGCACGCGACATGGTGACTACGGCTGGCGTGAGCAGCTCCCTGGACCACGCCACGCGCACCATTGAGAACTGGGGCAACCGCCGCGCGCCCGCGGCACCCGCCTGCCCCGGCCCTCGGCCATCCACCCCCAGCCTGCCCCTGGACCAGAACCCCAAGGGTTGGGGGCCACCAGGCGGCAGCCGCGTCGCGCTGGGGCGCAGAACCCCTCAGCTCCTGGGCCGCCCTCCGACGCCTCGGCCTCCCCTGCCCTACGCCTCCGGACTATCGAGCCGGCGGGCCTGGGAACTGCAGTGGCCCATGCGGACTGGTCGGACTGGTCGATGCAGGCGGCACCAGTTGGCCTCCGAGCGGCGAGCACTTCCAGAGCGCCCCCTGCCGCCCGAGTGCTGCCACTACAGCTCCTTCCCTCGAGCCGACCGGTCCGGGCGCCCCTTCCTCCCGCTCTTCCCGGAACCCCCAGAGCCCGAGGATCTGCCCCTGCTCAGACCAGACCAGCTGGCCCGGAGGGAGGCCTTGCTGCACGCCGCCTGGGCCCGGGGGCCCCGCGCGCGCCACGCTTCCCTGCCCAGCTCGGTGGCCGAGGCCTTCGCCCGGCCCAGCTTGCTACCCGCCAGGTGCGCCCGCCCCATCTGCTGGCGTTTGGCGCAGGCGCAATCGATGCGCCTGCCGTCGTATAGGGAGGCCTGTCAGGAGGGCGCGTGGGCAGGCGTCCCCATCTGGCCGCACAGACCGCACAGAACGCACAGAACGCACGCCTGCGTCCATGTCCATGGCCACCTGCCGCTTTGCTGGGGGACTGTCTGCCCTCATCTCCCAGCCTGTGCCAGCCACAGCCCCTGGCTCACTGGGGCCTGGGGGCCTCCTGGGCACAGGGGCAGGACCCTGGGGCTGAGTACAGGCTACAGGGACAGTGGGGGGCTGGAAGAGGTCAGTAGGGCGGCCTGTGGGACGCATGGCTTCCTGGGACATTGCACCTGGAGGCGGGTCAACAGCTTGGAGTCAAAAGTGTGAGGTGCGGGCTGCCCCGGCTGCTGGCCGGCTGCATGCTCCACCTGGCACTGCCAGAGTTCGGCAGGCGGGCCTGGACTTTTTGACTTTTGCCCTGAAATCCTGGCCATGGAGCCCCAGTGACAATGTCTTCCACGGTCAATTCAGTGACCTCAGCAGCCTCAGGTCCTGGTGTGGGCTGGGCTCTTGCTGTCCTCTCTTCATGCTGAAACCTTCTCACAGCACCTGGAGCCACAGGAAGCCACCAGCTCTCCCTGCCCTGCTGTGAGCCGGTTCCTGGCCATGGTCACTGGGGGCTTGGTGTGGGCACACGGGGGCTGGAACTCAGGGTTGGGGCAGGGCTGCTCCACCGACTGCAGTTTCTTCTCAGAGGACTGGGACATTAAACAAACCTTTCACAACCCACCGGTGCTGGCTGCCTCATTCTGCATCCTTTGGGCGATAGCATCATGGGAATACCCCGGGCAGGGTGTCTGCCTAGAGCAGGTGGGTGGCTCCCTCTGGGCCAGTGTCTGGGAGGTGAGCCTGAGAGATGGCTCCAGCAGCAGAAGCCACTTGGTATTCAGAGCCAGCGCCCACCCACCCTAGCGCCGGATGTGACAAATGTGCTCAGCAAGGGGCTCTGTTGGTGATGGATGTAGTTCATCCTTCAGTCTCCTTGAGAGGCTGTTGCCTGGGGCTGGGGGTGTCCTGTCCTGCTGGGGGCCTCTAGGAGCCCGACAGTGTCATGGTGGCAACGGCCAAGGGAGGTCTGTTGTGGGGAGTCTGCTGGGCTTTCCTGGGCCCTGGCCAGCTGCACTCTCTCCATGGTGGACGTGCAGGCCCTGAACACCCCCCTGCATGAGTGGCTTTCTGGGTTAGACCCAGCTCCGCCTCGCTGGTGCTGGGCCTCCTCGGGAAGGGGGCCGGGCAATCGGCCCCCAGTCTCAGTCCTGCGCCCTCCCTCTGCGCTCCCAGCCCTACCTCCTCTCTCTGTCATGTGCCATAGGCCCTGGACCTGAAGGCTCTTGCTTACAATTCTCGATGTTTCCACATCTGCGATTACATTAAGCTCCCACAATGGCTGTGAAGGGAGCAGGCAAGCGTGTGCTCATGCACCCGTCCGTCCCACAGCCCTGTGAGTGGGACCGCTGCCACCAGGCCCTTTCTCAACTCCAGAGCAGGCGAAGCCCAGGGCTCTGCTGTCCTGGATGAGTCCGGCGAGGCAGGGCAGGAATAAGGTCCATTAGTGGGGGGAGGCCGGGGAGGGCAGCCGGTGTCCTTTCCTACACGTCTCCCCGCTGGTCCCCTCCTCTTCAGTCCCCAAAGGCTCCGTGGCTGGGATTGGGCCATAACCGAGAATTCTTGTTTGGTTTTTAGAGCTGAGATGGTAGAGTGTGGGATGTTGCTAATACCCTCCCAGTTTTGGCTAGAGACCCTAACTGCCCTCAACATGGGCGGCGTGGTCCATTACTGTCAATTTCGTGTTCTCTGCCCGATGGAGTTTCATAGATCCAGGTCCAGGATTGGTGGAGGGGGAATGGGCTCCGTCTCTCGCGGAGAGTTAAACTCTGGATGACTATTAGAGGCCAGCACCCTGGACCCTTGAAGTTGGCCACAGCTGCTGGTGGTGAGAGGGTTAACTCGGCTACCAACCCCTGACCCCTCACCCTCCCTGGGTCTGAGAGCAGCTCTGGGGGGGAGGCGCAGGAGGTGAGGCTGCAAGGAATCACGAGGTCCGGGCTGCTCTCCGCTCAGTGCCCAAGATCATTAATAACCAAGAACTGGAAAGATAATTAAAAACCAAATGTGGAGCTGGGCTGCCTGCTGACTGGCTCCAAGGATGGGCCAATCCTGCCCCCAGGGCCAGGCTGTTGGCCGCCTCGCTCCTTCTCTAGGAACGAATTCTGGAGACAAGTGAGTCTTAGGGGAAGAGGGGGCACAGGGCCCCTGCCCCCTGCTCAGAGCCCCGATGCGCCCTGTCCTTCTGAGGGGGGACCGAGGAAGTGTTCTGTAATATCGAGGGGAGGGGACAGAGCCTGGCAGGAGAGGGGGAACTGGCTGTCAGGAAGGCCGTGGTGTTCAGTCACCATGGACCAGGGCCTGTGTGGCAAAGAGCAAGCTGAGTCTACCCCGATGAGAGGCCCTAGTGCTGGTTTGTTCTCTTGGTGGGACACAGGGGAGGCCCGTGGTCCACGCCCTCTTCTCCCTGGGAGCGGGTTGTGGGGGAGGGGGCACAGAGCTCAGAATGGAGTGGGCACGATGTCCTGGGCCAGGAGACCTGGCTACAGCCTTGCTCTTTGGAGGGGGTCGGCTGTCCGTAAGTTTCCTGGGGGGCTGGGGAAACGGAGAAGCTCTCTAGATCCTGAAGAATTCATTTCCGTTTTCAAACTGCGGCAGGCAGTTGCTAAGAGAAGACACTTCCAGTAAGGTGCCTGGGGACCCAAACCAGGGGCCCTCAGTGAGTCTGGGGCTCTGTGGCTGCAGGGCGGTTATGGGGGGTATGTGCCAAGGGAGCCGGCTTTGCTCAGCACAGGGCAGCTTTACTGAGCACGTCTGCGCCAAGCACTAAGCCCTGCACTTCACTTCCCACAAGCCATCTGTGACGCAGCCCACGTGTCCCTGGTTACGAACAGAGGGGAGCATGGAGGCTCACCACCTGCAGGGAGTGGGGCCCACATCCAGGTGCACACTGCTGGGGTGGCAAAGCTCCCTCCTGCGGCCCTGGGTCGGTAGAACTGGCTTTTCAGTGTCCATCAGCCTGGCCCAGCCAGGCATCAGTCCCGCTCAGGACCCAGTCCCCAGGCAGGTCTGGCGTCCGCCTTCTGCTTGCCCGTGGCCTCCGGGACCTGGAGCCTGGCACTGCCCAGTTCTCCCCCTCGGGCTGGTTTCCTGGGAGCTGGGGCAGCCTGTCCTCCCCACCGCTGTGACTTTAGCCGCAGCCTGTTGCTGAGGCTGCTCCCGGCCCCCCTGTGGTGAGAACAGCTGTGTAGCTAAGGGCCTGGCATGGCGCCCACTGCCCACCTTCCGCCACTCAGCAGTGCCTCCCGGCCTGTTACCTGCCATCTGCCCCAGCCATAAGCCGGAAGCTGCCTCTCTGGCGTCCGGGGAGGGAGGAGGCTGTAGCTGCTGGCACAAAGCTCCAGTGCTTCCGCAGGGGGCGGGGCAGAGCACACTGGCTCCCACCTTGACCTGGCTTGACCTCAGGGCCAGGCTGGGGCCATGGTGTCCGGTGAAGGCTGCCATCTTCATCCTCCTCCACGGTGAAGGCTGTAGGGCTGCTGTCCTCTGCCTTCCCACCACCACCCCTGGCCCCTCCATGAAATGGAGACCATGACCCAACTGCCCACCTCGCCAAGCAGGTGTGAAAACAGATGTGCTTGATGCGCCTTGATGCGCACAGTGAGCCAACATCACCTGCGAACATCCTCCCCACCCAACCCTGAGGTTCCCCACAGGTGAGAGGGAGGCGACCCCCCCCCCCCCACCTCCAGTGGGACAGACAGCAGGGGACCACGGAGGCACACAGGAACCAGACACTGGCAGTGGGGAGCGCGGGCTGCTCCCAGTGATGTGCACACCTCAGGCTACTTCCCTCCGGGCCTGGGGCTGCCCAGCCCAGAGGGGATCACAGCCACCAGACTCTCTGCTGGGGCTGGACTGTTGCATAAATCAACCCGGGCTTTATGATGCTAATAAATTCACATCCAAAATTTGGCCTGGAGCCTGGGGAAGCAGGATGATTTAATTTGCTTTGTCCTTAAGCAAAAGGGAACGTGATTTGAGAAAGGTAAGTACAGATGTTTTAACTGAGTTTTCAGCAAACAGTGGGGCAGCTCCAGGGAGGGCTCGAGCCACAGGGCTGGCCCACCTCAGAGCCCCCCACTGCTCTGCCCACCTTGGGTAGGCTTCCTGGGAAGAAGCCACGATGGCAGGTGGAGAAGGGGCGTCTATTTTTCAGGTAAATGGGAAATGATGACACCTAGGGACAAGATGGGAACTGAAAATGTGTGACCTCGGTGAGAAAGCAGATCGTGGCTGATTATGACACCAGGTTCTCACAGGCTGGGGTGGCTGAGGCCAAAGGCGGGGGAAGTGTATCCTGTAAACGCCCCATGTTCCTGCGAGTCCCGCGTGCCCCTCTGCCCTCCCAAGACCACCGTGGGCCCCAGGAGAAGGGGCATGGCCACTCTGTGCAAGGCATGAAGCTGATGCTGTGCAAAGGGAGGCTACAGGTTTCCTGCCGAGGGCTCAGCAAGGCACTGAAATCAAAAGAGAACGGGGCAGGGGCCCAAGATCCCACCCAGAGAGGTGGCTGCAGGCCCCACTGCTCTGGGCTCCAGGCCAGGTGGGGCCAGGTGCCCAGCTGGGGCAGGAAGGAGCCCCAAGTCCTGAGGCAGAAGGCACATTGAAAAGATTCCATCAGTCAGCCGTTTCCGAGGAAGGCTGCCCTGAAGGTGCATGATTGTGGCAGGGCAGGGGTCACGGAGGGCTGGCAAGGTGGCGGGACCTGGGCCTCTTTCCTTGGGAATGGTGGCCGGTACCCCACCTCACCCCATGGCGCCCAAGGGATGTGAAGTGTGTGAACACAGAGCCCAGCAGCCTGGCTGGACAAGGAGGCGTGTTTAGTGTTGGTGCAGGGACGGTGGGGGAGGGGGGCCTCCCACAGGATGGGAACCATCACGAAGGCCACTCACGGCCATGGCCCGGGGCACTCTCCAGTCACTGCAGCGGCAGGGGGTGTGGCTCCCCTTTAGTGGCCCTTGCCCATTAACCCCCACACCGCAGGAGGCCCCAAGAGCTCCAGCAGGTCAGCCCAAGAGCAGAGGACTCCCTTTGGGGGTCACGAGCTGCTGTGCCCATGGAAGGGCTGCTCCTGAGTCATCGCGAGCTCAGCCCAGAACAGGAGCTGGCGCCCACAGCAGGGCCCTCACAGACCCCATGTGGGGACCGTGGTGCCAAGTAGCACCTCCTGTTCTCGTCACCAGGGCAGGCCAGGCAGGGCAGTAGGCTACTCTAGGCCTGGCGGGAAGGTGGGCCCTGCGCGTCTGCAGCAGGCCCAGTGGGGCGGGGGCTGGGCCCGGGAGCGTCCTGAGGAGGCAGCTTCCAGTGGAGTGGATTTTGCAGACAAGGACGGGGGAGGGTGCCGGGAGGGCGGGGATACGGCTACTAGTATAAATAGTGGCAGTGCCAGCGCTGCGCACCTACTGCTCGGGGAGAGGAGCCCACCCCAGCGGGAGCAGGTGGCGGGCGTGTGCGTACAGCAGAGGGGTCGCATCCAGGAACCCGTCCCAGAATCTGGGGGTGCCAAGCACCCATGTGCGGCTCCCCGGGCTGGGAGCAGCCCCGGGCGGAGACCAGGGCAGGTGCAGGCTGTGCCACAGGAAGCCTGGGCGGGGACAGGATCCCCGGCTGGAGGGTCCCGCCCAGAGTCTGGGCCTTGTCCGTCCCTTGGAGCCCGGGGAGGCAACCAGACATGGGCTCTGCAGACAGAGGGGCAAAGCAGGGCTGCCCTGGCCCCACCCCACTGGTCAGCAGACACACCTGCCATCAGAGCTTGGTCTCACTAAGGACGATGTTGGCTGTGACGAAGAAGAAGCAGGAGAAGGCCCAGAGCAGCACAAAGCCCACCCAGAAGGTGTGGTGGAAGGGCGACCTGTGCTTGTTGGCGGTCCCTCGGCCGAAGGCCAGAGCGGTGTCCTTGCGGCAGTGGTACACCAGGAAGGCCGGGGTGACGTACTGGATGCCGGTGCCCGCGTAGGCCCCCGTGATGCCCACCAGAGACTCCAGGTCGTGGGTGCAGAAGGCCACCAGCACCGGGGGCACCAGTGTGATGGTGGGGAACACCACGCGGTCCACTACCCAGGGGTATGTGCCCCCCTCGCGGTGGAAGAGTGTCTTCCAGTTGTTGCGCAGGGTCACGGCGATGATGGGGAAGTTGGTGCTGATGGTGAAGACGGGGAAGAGGCCCAAGAAGAAGCGTATGGCGGCCACACCCACGATGTCGCAGCCCGCAAAGTTGAGGGTGTACATGTCCAGCAGCCTGTCGCCGCGGAAGCAGAAGATGGCGGTGAAGGAGAGGAGGCCGTAGAAGGAGAGGATCAGCACGTAGTCCAGGAAGACCAGGCGCGTGAGGTGGCGCTTGGAGGAGACGGGCGTGAGGAGGGACGGCAGGGAGTGCTGGCACATGAAGGAGTACACGCACACCCCGAACAGGTTCCGGACCCCGGAGAGGTCGGCCAGGGGCGGGCGCCCCTCCCCGTGCCCGCGCCCGATGCGGACCAGGGCGAGCACGATCATGACGGCAAAGGCTGGAAAGGAGAGAGGCGTCAGCTAGCAGGCGCAGCAGCCCCGCTGGGGCTGTGTCTGGTCCGGGGGCGGGGGAGCCCTGTGGGCAGGGATTGCTGGGCTCACGTACCCTGGGTGGCCACAGCCTGGGGCGGGTCGGCAGTGGCTGTTGCTGCTGTGAATGTCCCATGTGTCCCTCCCTCTGTCCAGTTCTCCACACCATCCCACCAGCAGATAAGGGAATGCGTTCCTGGTGGGGGTGGGGCCTGGGCAGGACAGGAGGGTGGCCGCACTGTCTCCTCGGAGGGACCCACACACACTCCGGACCAGGCACAGCCCGCTCCCCTACCGGCCCCAGGGGCTCTCTGGGGGTGGGGGCCCTGCCAGCTTCTTGCCAGGGAGCAGTCCTCGGGTATGACTCGTTTGCTCCCTCCCCCTTGCTTTAAAAATGTGTCTGGGGGACGGAGGGCACAGGGCGTTTGGCAGGAGTTGTCCTCCCAGGCCAAGGGCACCTGAGGGGACATGGGAGGAGAGCTGGCAGCCCTGAGCAGAGCGGGCAGCCGGCGGCACCTGTGGCCACTCAAGGGGAGGAGGAAAGGCCCTGGAGGCAGAGCTGGGGGGGCGTGCGGCACATGGCCGTTCTCCTGGGCCTGTGGCTCGGGTTGGGGACCAAAGTGGCTCCAGGCTGGGCTTGCCGCCGACGGGGAGGGTCCCGGCCGGTTGCCCTGCAGCCTCTCACGGCAGGCCCCGGCCCCAGAGCCGCCCACAGGCGCTCCAGGACCTGAGCTCCCTGAAGACAGACTCGCCGGGTCTCACTGGCTTCTCAAACCTGCCTCCCAGATTACCCAGAGCTGCTGCCATTAACTACTCAGCACACAAAGGGACTGCTGGTGTCCCTGTCCCCAGGGCTGGAATTCACAGACCACCGCTTTGTTCACAGCAGACCCAAGAGCCCCTCGTGGCTGTGCCCCAACCTTTCAGGTAGAGCTTGCAGCGACACCTGCCACTTCTGGGCAGGTGACACAGGCATCAAGGGGCACTGGGTTGGCCTCACAGAGATGCAGGGCTCCTCCTGGGCGGGGGCGCTGGGGTCTCCTCACTGTCCCCTCCCTTCTCCTGGGACTCAAAAGGAAGCCAGCCCGCCCTCCCCCAACGACGAAGTGGGCCGGTGGGGACGCCATCTACTGCTTTTAGTCTGGTTGCCTGCCGCTGCGGGGGCGGGGTGCAGGAGGGGAGGGGCGGGGTGAAGGAGGGGGGACGGGGTGAAGGGGGGCAGGGTGAAGGAGCTGGCCGGTGAGCTTGGCCCAGAAAGGCGGTGGCAGGCTCCTGACTCCGAGCCCGCCCTGCCTCTGCGGGCCCCTCGACTCTTTGCTGCCCAGGGAGGTCACCAATCTTGCCAGCTCGGGTCAGCGAGGGGGAAAGCATGGACCCACCTCCCTCCTTGAGGTCACAGCCCAGGAGCTGCCTGTGGCTTAACCCTCTAGGGGGGCTGGGGGACGTGTGACAGGACACCCCCCCCCCCCGGGGCCTCCCTGCTCCTCAGGATGCCCAGGACCCTGGCAGCCTGCTGTGCAGGAGGACCAGCCGCAGACGGACGGAGCGCTGGGGCAGGGGGCTGGGGCTGCGGCTGCCTGGTGATTAGCTATTTAAGAGGCTGCAGCTGACAGTTCTGTCACCAGAGGCAGGGCACTGGGGTCAGAGCAGAGGGGACAGCGCTGTAAGGCAAGATTCAAATCCTGCTGTGCCTCCGCCGGGGCGTCCCCTCATGACCTGCTGCTCCTCCTGGCCAGGGACTCGGCTGGCGCGGACTCAGAATAAGCAAGTGGAGAAACCCGCTGGGAGTCCTGTGGGCCTTGGCCCCGGCCCTGGGAGCGTGTGAGTGTGTGAGCGTGTGAGCGGGCAGGAGGAAGCCGGCTGCTGGGGTGCCAGCGCCTCCCGCTCACCACTCTGTGGCCGTGATGCGCAGCAGTGCTGGTCCGAGCTGCTCGGCTCATCCTCCTCCTCAGCCCTAAATCTCCAAGATGGTGTAAGAAACACAGAAACTGGCTTGTGAGCTGTCCGGGCAGCGGTGACCGGGGGCTCTGCTGCTTGTGAACAAACAACTCATGAAGCAGGCTTCGAAAGCCACGAGACGGATCTTTAAAGCATGCCCCCCTCCCCACCAGAAATGTGCACCTGCTGATGGGGGCCCCCTATGGGTGGTAAGAAAAGTGCCCGTCACAATCCTGCAGCTGTAATCGGCTTTAGCAAACAACACTACCACCTAGATCACTCACCCACCTCATTTTCTTAACCAAGCAAGTCTATTTCCAAAACCAACAGGTCTGCTTCCAAAAGCTGGATCTCCCTTCACGGGCTGGATGCCAGGAATTGGGATGCCAGGGGCTCCCAGGAGGCAATTCCAGGAGCGTGAAGAAGTGGCCCCAATATGCCCTCGCCAACCTTGAGAGGGGGCAGGGGATGTGTGAGTCGTGGGCCCCACAGGCCCCCCTGTGAGGACGGGGCAGTGCTGGGCTGCTGTCGGGGGTGAGCAGGGAAGGGAAAACGCCCCAACGTGGTCCCCAAGTTGGCAAGTTCAAGAGAAACCAGGGACACCCCAACATGGCACTGCAGTGGAGGGGTGGAAGGAGGGGAGGGAAGGAAGCAGGAGGCCGGGCCCAGTGGCTCCGACCTTGGAGGGTCCTGGACCTAGAGGACCAAGTCCCCACCCCCCACTGCTGTCCAGCCCTGCCCCTGCGACCACGGTCCTCTGCCCTGGCTCCCCTCTCCCCTGCTGGCTGTCCGAGGGGCAGGGCTCAGTGGCCGTCTTCTAGATTGATGGCCCTGTCCCTGGGAGATAGCTGCTTGGAAAACTCATTAGCTCTGATAGCAAATCAAGATGAAGATGATAGGCCGTGAGCGACAGTCACAGCCGGGAAGCGCGACGCCAGGGCTCGCCGCCCAGCGAGGCAGCTTGCACCCACCTGGCTGAGGCTACGTGGGAGGCGGATGGGCACCAAGGTGGACGGAGCAGCGAGCTCCCCTCAACCCCAGCGACCAGGGCCTGCAGTCCCCTGGTGGCAGGGTGGCCTTGGCTGCTCTCTGACCCTCGCAGGCCGTGCTCAGGGGACAGAGCCCGTGTGGTGGACGAGGGCCAGTCCACACCCACCTGCATCCCGCACCGAGGTCATGCTCTGTGGCGTGAGCAGGTGGCAATGAGCTGCAGTGAGGGGGGAGGCTGCGGGGCTGAGGCCCTGGCACATGTCGCACGAGGAGTGGCTGCCGGGACTTGAGAGGTGCGGTCACAAGATGCGGTGGGACAGAATACCCCTCTTTTAATACCTGAACTAACAGCCCTCGAGAAAAAACCTGCACTTGTTCTGGGTACCTTACGGGGCTCCCTGGGGCGACCCCATCCTTGCAACAAAGATGAACTGAGCGCGCGCTGTGGGCTGGCGCTGCCCTGGGCCTCTAGGGCAGTGCCCCGAGCACAGGCAGACGCCCCTGTCCTTCTGGGGCCTCTGGTCCACGGGGACCATGGGGTGGGAGTTATGGGAGGCGGCCACCTTAGCTGGCCGGGTACATGGCGAGGTCTCTGTCACGGGAGGTATCCAAGCCCAAGGGTAGAAGACGACCGGGGACACCAAGGGGGACCAGGAGTGAGAGCCTGAAGAGGAGGAGCTTGTCGGGCTGTCCCACTCCGCCGGCCCAGGTCTCGGGCAAACAGGAAGCTCTGTCCCTCCTGCCCTTGCCCAGCTCTCCTTTTGCTCCAGAGGGTACACACCAGTGACCCCGTCTTCCCTGGCCGGGCTGAGGTGGTCACGACCCTTTCCAGGTGCCTCCCCAGCCCTGAGTGTCTCAGGCCCAGACATCAGGGTGGGGGTGGGGTGAGGAAGACCCAGGACGGCTGCTGACCCCTGCTCCTGCTGACCCCCTGCTCCGTGAGCCAGAGGACGCTTCAGCTCTTCTTGCTCCCCCTAATGTCACACAAGGCCAAGCTGTCCCCACTGTCACTTGGCGAAGGGAGGACTCTGGCTAAGTGACAAGGAGAAAGCATTCTGTTTGGGTTCTTCGGGTGCTCTGTCCTCCCCATCACCGCCCTCCCGTCGGAGCACGGACTGTGGGTCGGGGAGGGGCCCATTTCACTTCCCGAGAAGGCAGGACCCACTGGGGCTCTGGAGGGCAGGCGGCCCCCGCCCCCGCCCCCGCCGAAAAGCTCCCTGCACTGGTGTTCGCACCTCCCGACACCCCTTGGCCTTGGGTCAGGGTTTTCATCTCAGGCCTGCAAGACATTCTGTGATTGCTGGTCCTGCCTGTAATAACTCACCAGAAGGAATCACTTGGGTTTCTGCTGAAGGGAGGGAATTTAAAGCTAATCTGACTCTCTTCCCGTGCTGGGTCGGCCCTGTGGTTTCTGGAGGGTTCCAGCTCTGCCCTCCTCTTCCTCCTCCTCATCACCAGGGAAGCAGAGGAAAGATGTTTAAGGAGTCAGATGACTGGACTGAGGTTCCAGATGACTTGTCCCAGAGGCCTCGGCCCAGAGTGCTCCCCTTGCCAAGTGTGTCGGGGGAGGGGGTCGATGGTGACGAGCAGGCATGGAGTCTCTGGGGCAATCAAGCCTGACACACGAGCTCAGGAGTTCAGGCCTCTCCATCCTTCAGCGTTCCCCGCTGTGGCAAGCGGCGTCGGGGCGGGAAGGGTCTCCATTTTTCACCCGGGCTGTCAGAGCCGGCTGCGTCTGTGACTGTTAGGAGAGCGCAGCCGCGGGGCCTGGGGCTGCTGGCGGACCGGTCTCCCCGGAGATTGGAACTGTCACCTTTCCCGAGGGCCGTCGGCCTTCTCCTCTTGTTGCAGACTGTCCCCCCACAATTCTCCCATCGAAGCCTGACCCCCAGCACAACTGCCCGGGGACAGGGCGCACGGGAGGGAAGAAAGGTGCCTCGAGGCCCTAAGATTAGGTGGCACCTAATCTGGTGTCACCGGCGCTCTCACGGGAGGAGGAAGGGGCACCAGCCCCTCTCTCTGTGTGCACCGAGCACGGGCCACGTGAGGATGCAGCGGGAAGGTGGCCATGGAAAAGCCAGAAAAAGAGGCGTCACCGGAGACCAACCCTGCGGCACCTTGATCTTGGGCTTCCAGCGCCCAGAACTGTGAGCAAGCCGGCTTCTGCTGGCCAGGCTGCCCGGCCGCGGTGCTGCCTCAGCCTGAGCTAAGTCTGCCCAGAAGTGGCTGCTGGAAAGCAAAGCAGGGACGAGAGGCGGAGGAGCTGGGGCAGGGGGACCGGGAAGGTGGGACTGTGAGCAGCCTGGACTCCCCTGGGCCGAATGTCACTTCCCGAGCTCGGGCTGCCATGGGCCACCTGGCTCTGCAGACGAATGGGGCTGCCTGACTGCTGTGAGGCTCAGGTTCCCTGGGGCCGTGCAAAGCCCAGCTCCGCAGAGGCACTCCTATCACTGCTGCTGGTCAGCCCTGCCTTGCTTCTGCCCAGGCAGCACTGCCCGGGTAGAGCGGGAGACCCTTCCAACGGCCAGGTCAGTGCCCGTCTCAGCCACACGAAGAGCAAAGCACTGAGGGCAAAGGCTGCCCGGAGGGGCCGACAGGGTGGGCCTTTGCTCCGGGCCAGGCCTGCTGTGGAGGGAAGGGATTGTCTGTGGCTCGTGGCTGGCGCTTCTGCAGACTTGAATTAAGTGTCCACTCTATTGCCCTAAGAGACTTAAGATAGAAGCCCCGGGTTCCTCTCCTTTAAACTGACCTCTGTGTTTGCAGAGAGAACGTTTAGAAAACCCAGACTAAATCAAGACTAAAATGGATGCTTAATGGCCCAGGAGAGCCTTGGACAGGGGCCCAGAGGGCGGGCGGGCGGGCACAGAGCGCAGCGCTGGCTGGGGCGCCTTCGCTTTGAGAAGGGGTCTGTCCTGGCCTCCGAGAAGCCCTGGGTGAGGGTGTGGCTGTGGAGGAACGTGTGTACCAAGCTGGCCTCTGAAGCAACAGCATGTGAGCAGATGGCCCGGAGACAGAAGACCCCTGGCTGCTGCCGGTGACAGATCAGAGCGCTCCCACCAGGGGACACTCTGCTGAGACCAGTCACGGACCTGCAGGGGAGTCAGCCAGGCGGCCACAGATAATTCTGGGGACAGGTAAAACCAGAGAGCCCTTCTGCTCCCTCCCAGGTGGTGGTCTCCTCCTGGGGACCTTCTGCCACTCGGGCCACCACCACTGAGTCCCACCTCTCCCCCCAGTTCTGTCCAGAACACAAATCTGGGGCACCTGCCAGGGGCGGGTGGGGAGAGAAGGGCTGAGAAGCTTCCCGAGGCAGGGTCAAGTTTATCCACGGACGCTCGCTCGGAGAGGACGCGCCTGACCCACTTGGAGAGGCGCGTGGAGACAGGCGCGGCGTGTGCGGTGGCCGCTCTGAATACACAATCAGAGGCCAGGCAGCCCTGCGGGTGCTCGGCAGCCCAGCCCCCGGCTGAGGAGGGCGCTGCCTCCAGAGCCGAGTTCATTACGGAAAGTCGGTGTTTTAATAAGGCCACAGGCATCCTGGGTGGAGCCAGCTGGTTGCTCTGGGGGGTGCCTGCCGGTACTGAGGGAAGCTGGTAATGGGGGTGAAGTAACGACACCCCCGCCGGTGTCCCGGGGGGAACAGTCCACGGTCATCGTACGAGCAGCTCAGGGCTTGGGCTCTGGAGCCACAGCGGCTGGGCCCGGAGGCACGAGGCACAGGACTTCCGGCTGCGTCTCTCTGAGTGTCCCTGGCCTGCTGACCACGGACCGTGAGAGAGCCAGGACTTACAAAGGAAGCCCCCAGCAGCTCTGTGCGGGACCTGCTTCTCCTTTCCCTCGGGCCCAGGCGGTGGTGGGGTGGGGGCCAGTGCAGGCACCGGGCAGGGGGAGGCTGCACGGAGCAACCGGCCATGCTCCAAGGTCCCGCTGGGGCACCGGCGCCACAGCTCTTTCTGGGGGTGGCCTGGGCCACGTCCCTGATCTCTCGGCCTCCCCAAGGGAGAGGGCACTAAGAAATGGAAGGGCCAACAGAGAGGGCGACGATGGCTGACAGGTGGCTGCCCACCTCGGCCGGGCACCGTGCTACTGGTGCTTCCCACTCGGCCACTTGACCTGCGCAGCTGCTCCTCCGGGTCCGGCTTTCGCTGCTGCTGGACAAGGGACCTGGCAGGGCACCTTCGGAGTAAACGCTGTCCCACTCGAGGAAGCGAACAAAGGGGGGAGGTGCAGTGGGAAGGCTGGCAAGAGGCAGCCGAGGGTCGGGGGAGAGGGGAGCGGCTGGGTGGCCAGGAAGCCCGCTGAGGCCTGACCAAGTGTCACCTGCCGGGTGGTGATCAGAGACCGCCATTGCACATGTGAATTCAGAGGCATCTGAAATCGCCCCAATGACCAGCCTGGTCTCCCCAGAACTTATTTGGGGAGCAACAGAAATGAATCAACACTGCCACCTGGCATACATGTCCCCACATTTCCTGGGACAAGTGGCTGTTCCAAAAGGCCATCCGACCCTCTGGACCCCATCCTGGCAGAGCGAGGGGCTCTGGGCTGATGCCGAAGGACGGCGCAGAGAAAGTGGGGGGGCAGCCTCAGGCGTCTGGGCCTGCCCAGAGCCCCGGGGGCCGCTCGGGGGGCTTCTGCGGTCCTCCCGCCTTGTTCCAACAGAGGGCAGGACAAATTCTAATTAAGCACGAGGAAGTTTCCGGCTCAGCACATCTATGATTTTCCGGTCCCTTTGGTGCTTGCTTTTCCCTTTTGCCTTCCTAGAACCCAAGCCAGCTCACGGCCGCCCCGAGCAACCCGCTGGCTGTCGGCAGTCGGGGCCCTCGGATGGGAGAGGGGGGAGGCGGAGTGTCGGAGGGTCAGAGGGACATGGCCGCAACTCAAAAAGGGAGTTGGCTGCGCACTGACACCCTGGTGCAGACTTGAGAGGGCAAGCAGGGCTCTGGTGCCTCTGCCTTTGGAGTTCCAGAAAAGCCACCTGGGGCGAGCTCGGGCCAGAGGAGGGACCCTCAGACGCCTGCACAGGTCCAGTGGGCGGACCTCGGCCCCTCGCGCAGCGGGCAGCCTCGCCCGGTGCCTGGTGCTCCCGGCTCCCTCCTGAGGCCGAGCTGCTGTTTCACGGCTAAGTTCCCTTACCGGTAAAAAGTCAGGCGGGGCCCCTGCCTTCCCTGGGCCCCGGGAGCCCACAGAAACCCGAACCATACCCCGGCCGGGGCCAGGAGCCCACCTGGCTGTCTCCGGAAGGGCTGGAGAAGGGACAAGGGGGAGACTCACCGATCCACCTCATCACAGAGGTCAGGATCTGCAGGTACTTGGTCTTCTGGACGTCAAAGAAGGTGAAGGGTCCCAGGAAGAGAGTAAAGACAGCCTGGGTGACAAAAACAGGAGTGAGGGGGGCACAGACCTGCGGCACACAGCATACCCGGGCTCCCCGGGGTCCAACAGCGTCAGCTCTGAGTTTCTGGGGTCACGGCTGCAATGGGGACCCGGAGCCGCGCTTCGCTGCCGTTCCCCACACCTACTGTCCTGAGACTCCTGGAAAGGGGTTTCCTGGGGAGTCCCAGGGGACAAGCTGGGGATGTCTCCTGTGCACTGGTCTTCCGCACACACTAAGGACAAGCAGCCGGGCACGGCTGAGCGGGCACCGACCAGGCACAGGCGGCAGGAAGAAGCTGCCCGCACGCCGTGTGCCCCGGCGGCGGCTTACTGGGAAGGACACGGGGAGGAGGGGGCTGGGGGCCCTGGCGGAGCGGCGCAGTGCGGGGGGCACCGCTCTGCAGGGTTCAGAGGGAAGGGCCCACAGGGTGTCGCTCACTAGCGATGTTCGGAACTTCCGAGAAGGGGAGCAGAGAACCAGCGCCAGTGGCGTCCAGGGCCAACCGCTCAGAGAACTACCTGGGCCAAGGAGAGAAGAGCCCGCACCCAGGGAAGTGGGCGTGGAAGGTTGGCGTGGGGCTGGGGGTCTGGCCCGAGGGGTGGGGACCGCCAGCACCTCCGGTCTCTCTTTGGAGAGAGAACAGGGGAGAGTGTTCACTTTAAAGAAAAACCCTGAAAGCCTGTCTTAGAAAACTGGTCTGTGGGGAATGGAACCTTCTTTCCGGCCCCCAGCAGTCCCCTGAGGCCCAGGGAGAGAGCTGGGGACTCAGGAAGGTGCGGAAAGAAAATGGGCACACGAGGCCCAGCAGAGACGGGGTGGGGAATTAGGGGAGGCGGGGACCGCCATGCCGAACTGGCCGCCCAGGGAGCGGAGGCATGAAAGCACTGCTGGCTGGCATCACGGTGACGGCACCATTTCCAAGCTGCCACTCGGAAGCAGCGGAAGCATCAAGCCTAATTACCACTTACGCGGAGCCGTTTTATCGCGTCAACGCTAATGACACTCACCAGAGACTTGCAGCCGGCTGGGACGCCTGGCTGTGAAGCCTGGCTGTGGGGGGCGGGGCCGCTCTGGGGAGCCAGGCCCTGGTCCTGTGATGGGGGGTGAACATCTCACAGCTGCTGGGCCTCAGGGCCAGCTAGCTGCCCTGTGGCAGGCAGGCAGGAGCCCTGCCAGAGGGGGGCTGAGCCCAGCCCTCCCCCACCCACATCGCAAGGAGAGCAGGATGTGGCAGAAGCTGTGACCTCTTATCCAAGTCCATTATCACTGTGAGAATGAACCACAGAGAAGATTAAAGCACCCGCTTAAGAAAAAGGCTCTAATTAGCTGGGGTGGAAAGGCTTGGCCATTGCCAGGGCGGGGAGCTGTCTGGAGAGGGCTTCACACTGGGCGCCCACACCCCGATCCGCTTCCGTTCGGGGTGGGGAGAGAGGCACCTTCACTAGGCCAGGCACGACTGGGGAGCAGAGGACAGGGACAGTCGGGCCAGCCCCCAGCAGTCCCCTGAGGCCCAGGGAGAGGGGCTGGGGACTCAGGGAGGTGCAGAATGGCCCCCTCTTGGCAGAGCAGCTTCAGCAGTCACTTTGGAAAATTGCTGCTTCAGGGAGACTTTTCACTGACGGGTCTCCTCTGAAGGACAGGAAAGGGAGATGCCGTGGGGAAGAACACGGACAAAGCCACCGGCCACCAAAGTTTCCATGCACCTGTGGCCGGGCCGAATCGGGACTCCCGGTGCGCCCAGGGGCCTCTGACCTGCGATGCCTCCCACTGAGCACGCGGTGCTCCAGCTGCTGTGGGGCCTGGGCATCCCCAGGGGAGGCTTCCATGGGAGGTGAGCTCTCATCTTTGAAGGCTGACGACTGGTCTTTATCGAGCTCCACTGTGTAAAACGGGGGGAGAGCAGAGGCAGCCGCAGAGGCAGGTGGGCCCTTCCTTCCCTCCAGGAACCCTCCCTCGGATGCCAAAGCCACCTTCAGCCCCCCCCTTAGTGGATGTTTAAGAAGACCCCATCACACAAGCCCCTTTTATAAAACTCCATCGGACGGGACCCCAGCCCACTAGGGCATCCCGCTGTGTAGAGAGACCAGGGCACGGCACGTCTCAAGAAGGCAGAGTAACAGCTGTGCAGGCGGCGCCTCTCCCAGAGGAGAGGCTGCCCTTGCTTGGCCCTGTGATGTCCGGGTTAGGGACAGCAGGCCTGTGCTCAGAGTGGGGACGGGCTCTTTTGGGAGACTTGTTCTGTCACCAGCTGGGACACCCACAGCTGGACGGCAGCTGGTATGTGGTTTCTTTTTCTTTAAACGCCTAGGACCACAGACTGACTGCCCCACTTGGAAGGGCGCAGGGCTGCTTAGTCAGAGGGACATGCACAGACTGCCGCACAGGGGCCCAGGCTCGGCCCAGAGGGTGCCCAGCCCGAGACACACGGCGCAAGCTGGGGCTCATCACGGAACAGGTGTGCTCTGCGAATTAGTCAGAGCCCGGCTCTGCAGGGCCGGCATCCGGCAGGGCAAGGACAGAGGCTTCACAGCGGTGCACAGGCTGCCATGCCGTGGGGGTTCCGGGTCTCTGGGAAGAAGGGGGGATGCACAGGAGACCAAACAGCCCCGGTGTCCCGATGGTCTAGTGTGGACGGAGCTCGTCTCTGAATGCTGAACGGCCGAGCGTGGCTCCTTCTGTTTTCCCTTCCCGTTTTCAAAAAGAGAAAAAAAAAAAAAAGCCCAGAGACAGCCAATCCTCTGGGGCCTTCCTGTCTAGCCTACGCGACATCATCAACTAGCTCCTGAGCACTTTTCCAGCCCCCAGACGCCATCAATCAACTCACAGTCTCTGTTCAAGGGCTCGCCTAACCCAGCCCACAACAGAGCGCAGGGGCGCCAACTGCTGCAGCCAAATGCACAGGAAGGAAGAGAGGGAGGGAGGGAGGGAGGGAGGGAGGGAGGGAGGGAGGACACTACTTCGGGTTCTGATAAAATCTTCAAAACTGGTCACCAGGAAAAAAGCCCGAGAGAGACCTGGGCGAAGGGCTGCTGCTGCACCGCCCAAGGGCGGGGGGAGTTCAGACGTGCACCCAAGGCCCCCAGCAGCCCTGCCGAACTCAAGGGACACACAGTGGCACGTGTCCCCGAGGTGCTGCCGGCAGCGCTCGGCCGCGGCTTGGTCAGTGTCCTGGCGGCACTGCAGATGCCACACGGGGCCTGAGGCTCACGCGGCCACCTCCCCTCCTGCGTCCCCCAAGTGGGTCAAGCGCACCAGCCACCTCTGGGCGCCCTGGCTCCAGACTTCCAACATTCCCCAACTCCCCCCTCTGGCTCTGGGCTGGTGTCTCCCTGCTGGCGTGGCCGCCACAGAAATGGGCTGGTTGCAGCCCCAGGCAGGGAGCAGGGGCGCAGCGCAAGCACTCCCGACCCTGTCTCTCGGGGACACGGGGTTAACGGGGGAACTAACGTCCAAAACAAGAGGAATCCAGGAGGCAGAGGGCTGGGGGGGGGGGGAGCTGCGGACTGTCCCTGGGGAATCTGTCCCCGTAGACTTGTCCCTGTCCCCTCCCTCCTAGGCCCACAGCCAGCTGGTGCCAGCACCGTCCCCCCACACTCAGCCCTGGCCACGCCGGCTCTCGCCAACTCTCAAGGACTTGTCGTTGTAGAGAGGACACAGTCCGGTGGCCCATGGTCTGGTTCCAGCCGTGTTCTCAGCCTTGCTTCTCAAGAAGGCGCCCCAAAGCCCCCAGTCCAGCAGCCCTGGGCAGCACACGCCCCCATGGGCTCAGCACCTCCCGCCACTGTGCTCGGCCAGCTCCTTGATCATGTCTGGGGGCAGAGTCCTGCTGTCCCTCAGGACCCACTCAGAAGCCCGCCCTTCACTCTGCGGTTGCCTTCTGGTTGTCCTCTCTGAGACGAGCCATGTCCCCCCACAGAAGGACGGAGCCGACTGGGCACGAGCCTGGAGGGCGGGTCTGGCAGGGAGGAGCTGAGTTTAGGCAGCTTCTGCCAAAAAAGAGACCCGAGGACAGGGGACTAAAGAGAGTCCTAATGCAATTTCAGTCCTCTGTCCGCCAGAGGCAGGAGGGACAGCAGCTCCTTAGAACCCGTGTCACAGATGCTGGGCGGGACCGTGGCTTTGCCGAAGACCCGAGGTGCAGAGGCCCAGGAATCTGTGGCACCAGGGACCAAAGGTTCAGCTCCAATCCAAGCTGCCCCTTCCTCTCTCAGTCAGGGCAGCTGGCCCCCCGGCTACGGAGTGGGGGACACACGCTGTGCTGCCCGAGAGAAGGGACCCTTGCCCGGGAACCCCCAGCCCAGACCCGCCCTGTCTTCGCATCTCAGCCGCCCCCCTGCCCACCCAGTGCCCGCCGCACTTGGGGAGGGGAGGCTCCAGCACCAGCCGGCCTGGTCCCACGCACAACGAGGCCGTGTGCGCGCGCGCGTGTGTGCGGTGACATCAGAACACAGGCGGAGCACGCAGCTCCGCGTCTCTCCCTGACCCCAGATTTCTGTGCATTTCGCTGGTCAGAAACCGAGCGGAAATTTAAATGAGGAGCAACTCGCAAAGGGACTGCAGCGTAGCAGGCTGCTCGCTCTCCGGGCCCACCTTCTGCCTGCGCACCCCTCACGTCAACCCTGTCTTCCCAGGGGCTGCTCCTGCTGACCCCGTGCCATGGCCAAGCTGTTCCCCGGTCACACCACTGCCCTGGGCTGCAGGGCCCCTTGCTCATCGTCTACCTCAGTCCCCTCAAAGGGGGGCAGAGGGGACACAGGGTACGCTGTTCCCGGAGGAGAGGAGACCGGAGAGAATGACATGCTAAAGTGACAGCCCCCACACAGGACAAATGTCCCAAGAACCTCTGAGCCACTTCACGGGACAGAGAATGATGACCGAGATCACCTTCTGCAACAAATGACAGAGAGAAAATGCCCTAGAAGACGGGAGGGTCAGCCAGCTGACTGTGGATCCAGCTGGGGGGTCCTCCCAGCCCTGTCCCCTGACCTGGA